AATACTTTGTCTACCATTAGACTTCAGTATGTCTTATTCTGGAATGTACAATGTAAGAAAAGTACTTGCATATTTACTAATACAATCTTTTATAATAAAATAAGCTCTAGTATTCTAGTTCAATAATTTCAAAAACTTCTTGGAAGCAATATTATGAAAATTTCACTAATTATGAGAGGAACTTTCCAGTACACTATTGTTTGCTTTGTATAATATTATGAGCACTAATATTAAATCTCATGTTGAAAATCCTGTTGCCTTACATGGTCATCCTACCTAGCAAGCATTAAACTTATCCCTACTTCTTACAAATGAGACACCAAGAGGTTACCTAATGTGTCCCAAATCTAATGTCATGTTAAATGGAAAAATATCTGCATCTAAAACTGCATAAGCATAACGCTTTATTTTTTGTTTGTTTGTCTTTGAGACAGTGTTTTTCTATGTAACAATCCTGTAACCCTGGAACTCACTCTGTAGACCAGTCTGGTTTAGGACTAGAGGTTTGCCCGTCTTTGCCTCCTGAATGCTGGGACTTAAAGGGGGCGCCACCACCAGCTTCAGTTTTTTTTTAAGTAGTAGATAACTTCAGCCTCATTTCTGAGTTCTTCAGGTAGCATGCAACCTACAATGTAATCCTTACACAGTCTTGAATCCCCCCCACCCCCCCGCTCAGTTTCTGAAGCGTAAAGCGCAGCTAGGAGAGATTAAAGGACACTCCAGAAGCAGACCGTCACCCAAGATTCCAGGGCAGAGTTCAAAGTAAACCTCCGGCTTAGTCTCAGTCTCGCGGACCCCGTGCGATACACCCTTCAGTCTACGTAAGGCCGGAAGCCAATATCATTTTTGAACGAGATGCAATTTCTTTTCTGACCGTCTGCACTCGGTAACGGCCGTCTTCCAGGGCCGAGTCTCCTGCTGGCTGCCACCCAGCCTGAGAAGGGCCGGGCAGAGAAGAACGGGTGACCAGGTAGCTCCAGACCACGCTGGCCTACGGCTCTGGCCTCAGCACGCAAAGAACGCGTGCCCGCACCCTTCCCGGGTCAGCACTCACCTCTCCTGCACTCAGCACCCGCCCCGCAGCAGCTCTCCCGCAGCGCAGCGTCTCCAACGTAGGGGTAGAGGGGCGAGCGGATGCTGGGATCCGATTGGTTGTCAGGCTGGTGGGCGGGGTTCCCGTCGGCCGCCTCTGCTGATGCTTGTGCTGCTGAGATAGGCAGCCTTACTCGTTCCCGCCCTGTAGCCTGTGGACTGGGCAATGACTTTTACACCGCTTGGTGTGGTGTAGCTGTCACATGTTGCCTGAGGCTTTTTTTCTGGTGGTGGGTACAGTCGGGTGCTTTTCTAGTTTAGTGGCCCAAACACAATTGATCTGATACAAAAGTTTGTGTAAAAAGCGAAGATTATAGGAAAACAGTGTTTGTGATCCATCCCCTGCCCTCAGAGCTAGGAAACATTTTCCCAGGGATAGCTTGGTCTCTCCCTTGAAATAGTAGGCACACTGTAGAAGGAATCAGGGTGCCCCGGTCATAAAGTATACCTTCTAGTCTAAAGCAGAAAAATGTAACTTGGAGCCTGCCCACTTTTTACCTAGTTTCCATCATCTGCCAGCTAGGAAGTTAGAAGTGTCCCCTCCCTGCAGTCCTTCACCCACACAGCAGCTAGAATGACCTTAAACTGGGCTGGAGAGATGGCTCAGTAGTGAAGAGCACTAGCTGTTCTTCCAGAGGACCAGGGTTCAATCACATGGCAGCTCACACCTGCCTCTAACTCTCCAGTTCCAGGGGATCCAACACTCTCTCTCTCTCTCTCTCTCTCTCTCTCTCTCTCTTTCTCTCTCTTTCTCTCTCTCTCTCACACACACACACACACACACACAGGCAAAACATAAAAATAAACATTGAAAAAAAACAAAAAATAATAATTAGCTGGACATGGTGGTATAGACTAATCCCAACACTTGGGAGAAAAAGGAGATTAAAACCAGCCTGTGCTGCATAAAACCCTATCTCAAAATAAAGGCCAGAACCAAGGAAGGAAAGATGTGTAGATTTTCGTTGGCTAGGCAGCCTAAGTCAGTGAGCTCCAGGTTCAGTGAGAGACCATGTCCCAAAAAACAAGATGGGGGGACTGGAGAGATGGTTTAGCCATTAAGAGCTCTTGTTCCTGCAGACTATCTGGGTTCTGTTCCCACCACTCACAACCATCTGTTCTTTAACTCCAGTTCCAGGGGACCCAATGCCTCATCTGACCTGCTGGCACCAAGAACCTATGGATAAATACATCATATTTGTTGTTGCTGTTTTTAGACAGGGTTTCTGTGTAACCTTGACTGTCCTAGAACTTGCTCTGTAGACCAAGCTGGCATCAAACTCAGAGATCTGTTTGCCTCTGCCTCCCAAGTGCTGGTGAGATTAATGGCATGCACCACTGTTACAGAACAGTCTTTTTATGCACTGTGAAGATGTGTGCCCTCATTGGTTTAATAAAGAGCTAATGCCATTTTAAGTGAGGTAACCCAGACACAGAAAGACAATATCACATGTACTCACTCATAGGTGATTTTTAAACATAAAGCAATGAAAGCCAGCCTACAAACCACAATCACAGAGAACTTAGACAACAATAAGGACACTAAGAAAGACTTATATAGATCTAATCTACATGGGAAGTACGAAGTAAAAAAAGACAAGATCTCTTGAGTAAATTGGGAGCATGGGGACCTCGGGGGAGAGTTGAAGGGAGGAGGGAAAAGGCAGGGAGGGGAGCAGAGAAAAATGTAGAGCTTAATAAATATCAAAAATAAAATAAAATAAAGAGCTAATGCCAATAGCCAGGCAGGAAGAGGTCGGGTGGGACTTCCAGACAGGGAAAAAGAGAGAGTGAGGATAAAGAAGTCAGCAGGAAGACACAGGGAGAAACAAGATGAACGAGCTGTGATGAAGAAAGGTACCACCATTTAGATAAGAAATATGGGTTAATTTAAGATGTAAGAGCTAGTTAGTAACAAGTCTAAGCTGTAGGTTGAGCATCCATAATAATAAGTCTCTGTGTGGTTATTCGGGAGCTGGCTGGTGGGACAGAAAAGTCTACCTATATGCCACCACTGCCTGGCTTAGTCACAGACCAGGCTTTTCTGTGTAACAGCCCTAGCTGTCTTGGAACTCGTTCTGTAGACCAGGCTGGCCTCGAACTCAAAGAGATCCTGTCTCTGCCTCCTGAGTGCTGGGACTAAAGGTGAGAGCCACAACTGCCAGGCCTAATTCATATTATTAAAAAAGTTAAAAACTAGTAAGATAGTAAGGAAGAAATCTTGACCTCGGGCCCCTGAAACATGAACACTTACATGATTGTATGCACACAGCCACACAAACATGTACATACAACACACATGCAAGAACATAAATACAAGTAACATGATACAGACTGAGCAAATTGGTTTTATGTATTTAGGAATATATATAGATAGATATACTGATTAAATAATTTTCATCTACTTAAATTATAAAGAAGATATATACCCAGAAAAGCATAGATATATTTTTATTATACATTCAATTGAAGTTTTTAAAATTACAGAGTTCAATGCCAAAACAAAGTAAAAAAAATGCATATTAAGTTGCTATTCACTTGCATTGTTCTGCCCTAAAATTCTGCAAGGAAACAGCTTAAAGACACATGAACAGATTCAGTGCACTTCTAGTGGCTTACCATGCGACGAAGACCATGGTTATCCACAGAAAATAAAAGAACAGTAAAATGAAATTAAAATACTGCAGTTTCACACAATCGACCTGGAGGATTTTAGGAGAATTTTGTTAGCACTCACCTGCAGAGCAAATGTAGCGCCTGGCAAGCTTGGCACACGAGCTCTTATTAACCGCTCAGCTTCTCCTCCGGTTTCTCTGGCAGGACCAACACAGGGTCCTCTCACACCCACGCAGCTTTTCTGCTGACCTTCTGGGGATGACTCTCAATGCTTTTCCTGTCTTCCTTTGTGTCCCAGCCTCATGCCTGCTGCCAATCCATCCTAGCATGAAGCACACAGCCCTTCTTCTCAAGTATTACCTTTATTGGCTGAATTGTGATTATAAAGAAACTAGATCTAAAATTCTCCCTACTTTATGATCATATCTCCTACAATGCAAAAAGGTTGATGATGCCTGATTCAGAACATACTTCAATGAGTTTAGACAGAATATATACTGGCCCAAGGTTTTTAAATATGTACTCTTTTCTATTATAATCATTAGTTTTCAAATTCATAAACGTTGTAAACATCATATTAAACATTTCAGTAGAAACCCTGTTACCTTACATTTTACTTAGTGGGTTCAGAAAGAACAAAAGCGACACTTTGTTCCCTTTGGCAGATCTGAAATTGTCCCTGAACCCCAAACCCACCATCACACATGCACTATTAAGCGGTTTCTTAGGTCAAGCATGTTCATGACAATTACTGCTGCTCTCATGAGCATACCTTGTAACAAAGTAGTAGAAAACAAACAAAACTATGATCTCTTGGAACTGCTCTCCCTGTGAGTTTAGATACTGTACCCCACCCTCCCCAACTGATCCACCTCAGGTAGCACATAAATACCTGAAAGCATACGCTAAGGAGAGTCTCCTGTACCAACGCTGTCTGCTCTGCCACCCCACCGTGAGACTGAGGCTGAGGAGCTGGAGGACAATGCGAAGCTGGCCTTCTGGAGTGCCTTTATCATCAAAGTGCTGAGGCTAATAACGTGCCTGGTTTTCTACTCAAAGGGAGAAACCTGACACACAGGAAATTCTAGTCACCTATTGCTCTTTTAGCAAGGTTTAACTGCAGGTTTTTATTTACTTGTTTATTTATTTAATTTTTGTGAGTTTCTTGGGGGCGGGTTTGAGACAGGGTTTCTCTGTGTAGCTTTGGCTGTCCTGGAACTTGCTCTGTAGACCAGGCTGGTCTTGAACTCACAGAACTCCTACTGCCTCTGTCTCTGGAGTGCTGGGATTTAAAGTATATGCCACCACCACTCAGCTAACTATATGTTTTTAAAAGAGAAATTAACAAAATGTTACATTTTAAAATGAATAACCTAAAAATTAATTTAAAAAATACTATATTTCTTTTGCTCTAACTACAGATGACTGAGATCTACTGGCTCATTAGCATCTGGATTAGCAAATATTGAGATAACCTAAACCCAGAGTGCCTGACCTGGGTGACAGCCAGTCCTGCGAGCTAGAATAGTAACGACTTAAAGGTTGTATTACCTGAATAGTTTCAATGATGAAGTACCAGAAATGGTAAAATAAATATTTTCCACAGCACCATAAGTTTTTATAAAATACTATTTCAGTTAATATACAATCTCAGGATTTTGGCCCATCATACATATGAGGCACAACATCTTCTTTTATTAACAGAGGCCTTATTTGCACAAATACAACATGAAAACAATATATTTACATGGTTACTACTGCATCTACATCCACTGAATACTAGTAGTTTTAAGAGCCATGAAAAATTAATTGACCATTTAGAGTATGGTCACAGAATTTAATTGCCAAATGGATCTAATAGCAAACAGATGTACTTTATGGCCAAATTACTTAAAATTAAGTATAACATGTTAAAAAGTAAAAAAACCCCAAAACGCAGATTGGATCTGCCCAATACCCAGCATGCTCACAAATTTCCTACAACCGTTAGCATGTGCTAGGCCGTCTGAGTTTAACACTGACCTAGTAAAACAGAACCGAGAGCACACCTTTTCCCACAACAAACACCACATTCCAAAGCCAATCTCATGTGTCCCTGCATCAAAGAGGAGAACTGAGTCTTGGCTTTATTAGAAATCAGTTAATGCTAGAATAAACCTGTTATAAAACACTTATAACAAAATAAATATTTTCAGTTCCTTCACATTAAGTGATATATAAATCATTACATTTTATAACATTAGCTTAGGTCATTTGGGGAAACCCAAACATACTGTACAATCCTGAGTAAAAAAATTAGTGACACAGTTTCTTGGGGATTATCCTTATCAGAAATCAAGAAGAAAACGCATAAACCGAACCTTACAATAATCCCCATTTCCATCAGAAGTACCATGAGTTCTTTGTACTTTGGTAAGTTTATAAATGTAAACCATTTATGTGACAAAGTAAACTGAACGGAGCATTGCTAGGATGTCTCTATCACCTTCTGACAGTGACACGATAAATAGTCTGGAAGAGCAGAGCAGGAGGACCGGAACCACAGCGCCACCGCATCAGCATGCACTCGGCAGTGCAGAACACACGGGGTGGATGGGAGCAGCTTACATGCCAACAGCCCTTCATTGCCTGTGACAGAACAAGAAGGGAAAATTATTTAATAAAATAGGCTTCAACAGACATTCCTCTAAGAATATCTACAAACGGGCCATAAGCACATGTAAAGATGTTTGTCATTAATCACCAGAGAACTACCAATCAAAATTGTGAGATAGCATTTCATGCTTGTTTGGAAGACATATATATATATATATATATATATATATATATATGTATGTGTGCTAAAAGCAGAAGTATTGCTGAAGATGTGGACAGATATAAACTCTTGCTTACTAATGTAAAAAGTTATATGTTTGTTATATAAATGATCTAGTAATTTACCCAAAAAAACAACAACGTATGATTCAACAATTCCACTTTACGTATATGATCAGAAGAACTGAGGGAAAGAATATCAACAGGTATTTCAACATTTATATCCACAGCAGCATTGTTCATATCCGACAAAAAATGGAAATGCCCCAAGTGCTTGGTAACAGGCTAATAGTATATAATAATATATAATTATATATATATATATATATATCACCAAATAGTAGTACACTATAACGTATACAGTGTAATATATACTAATAGCATAATAACTAGTCAGAAATGATATGGTCACTTTATACCCATTAAAGGAACAACCCATCAAATGGACATCCATCACAAGTCTAAACATAAATTTACCCAATGCAGGTGCAACACATTTGATAAAAGAACTACTACTAAATCTATAACCACAGATGAAACCCAACACAGTGACTTCAATACTCTACTCTCACCAACGACACTGTACTGCCATAAAAACTGACACACACAATACAATGAAGTCGAGGCCCCAGAAATAAGCCAAAAATACACACTGGAGAATACACAGTATGGCTAACAGGTGGTGCTGGTCTCAATGGCAGCTACAAGTAAAAGAATGAAACCAGCCTGGTCTACAAGAGCTAGTTCCAGGACAGGCTCCAAAACCACAGAGAAACCCTGTCTCGAAAAACCAAAAAAAAAAAGAATGAAATCAGATCCTTACTACAATCTTGAATAAAACTCAACTCTAATTGCATCAAAGATTTCAACTTAAGATCTGATACCCTTACTGTGACAAAGAAAGTAGGAAATACACTTGAACACATAAGAACACAAAAGGATTTTCTGAATAGGATCTCGGTAGCACAGGCATTAAGAACAGAAACTGACCAAAAGGACCACATAAAAGAGGTTGTTGATCAACATGTGAAGAGGTTGGAAGGTTTCAAGTTCACAGACAAATTACCCTGGTGTAGCTGCATCACCTTTAATAGCTATTTAATACCGTCTTCTGTATGTGGCCTGACATCTTTGTGACCATTAGACATGTCCAAAAATCCCCTTGGTTTCCAAGCAGACAAAGGACTACGAATGCTGTCAGATTCTTAGCTGAGGCCTACAGCAGAGTTTTCCCTGTTTTGCTGAAACAGACCTACCTACCACTTTCACCAATGTATTTGAAAAGTGCCTTGATTTATGACTTTCTTTGTTCTGTTACTATAAAAACTTTATCAAATCATTAAAAAAAAAAGTTAAAAGCTTCTTTACAGCAAAGAACATCATCAATCGAGTGAAGAGGCAGTCTATAGAATAGGTTAAAAAAAATCCTATCTGGACACTGCTGCTTTCTAGAATACACAAAAAACAAAACAAAATGGATCAAGACAAACCAATTAAAAATTGGAACACAGAACTAAATGGAGTCCTCATAAAAAGAAATACATATGGCTGAGAAATACATATGTATATATAAAAGTTCAGTATCTTTAGTCGTCAATTAAAACTACTTTCAGGTTTTATCTTACCCCAGTCAGAATGACTAAGGTTAACCAAAATTAATGTTACAAGGAAAAGACCACATTGAAACCTACTGCTTTATAGGCAAACTAAAAGATACAATTTTCCTTTTTCTCTCTCTCTCTTCTTTCCCTCCTTTCTGTGTGAGCATGCTGGCTGTCCTGAAACCAGCACTGTAGACCAGGCTGGACTACGCCCCCTCCCCACACTGGGATTAAAGGAGTGCACCACCATGCCTGACATGATAATTTTCTTAAAACCTGGAACAGAGGTATCCTGCAAAGATAGAGAATTCTATTGCTAGACACCACATGGTTCTAAACCCAGCTGCAGGAGTAGAATATTATTAGCACAGCAGCTGCAGACCAGGAGGCTCCAGAGGCCCCCAAAGCAATGGAGGTTGGTAACATTGCTTCTTATGACTCACTGTAACTAGGCAGCAAGACTATTACTGAAGACACAACACCCTTTGGATGTCACACACTGACAAGGCTGAAGCTGCTCTGGAAGCTTCCTCCCCGGTGGTTAGCAACCAATGGGCCTCTTTTGGCCCAGCAGGATGCTGGGGAGAAAAGGTGTCCATGGTCTCACCTGGTGTTGACACTGCTTATGACAATATTGATCTTCCAGGCTAGAGGTGCTGTCTGATCCAACAGAGACATAACTATTTTGAGAGTCATCAACCACTTTCTGGTTGGATTTGAGGCCTACTCCACACAAATGGAGAAATGTTTAAAGTGTTAAAAAGAAAAACAGAAGCTAAGTGATAGTTAATTATACACCGTAATTTTTTAAATCAAATATTCTTTAATACAGTCTGGACACTTTAAGACACTTGTCTTAAAGATACATGTGATAAGAAGCATAGCTCTAAGAAGCATGACACCTGAAAGAAAATCCATATTCACATGGGGCTGCCTTTTGTAATTCTACACACCTACGACGTCAATGACATGAAGTCCCAGCTTCTGCTGCAGTTCTGTTAGGACAGAAGCCAAGGCAACTTGAGGCTCTGATATTTTTATAGTTTGCTTCACATCATTTGCTAAGGCCAACCAGAGTTTGCCAAAGTCTTCAGTTGAGATCTTTAATGGCCTGAAAATAATTTTAATAAAAAATTAGTTTATGTTGTTAAGAACACAACAATGCTGAACAAACACATTCTATATGACTCATGGAAATTAAATATAGTCATGATAAATTTGAGTTCCAAGAGCTTTGTGCTTTTAGAGCAGGTATGATTAGAATACTGAGTATTATCTTCCAACCTGATGAAGTTACTATAGCAGAAGATACTAAATTGAACTTTTCCTTTCAAGAATTCATTCAATTTTGTCTCTTTTTAGATATTAATCCCTCCAACAGGATTTCACCAAACAACTTCACAAATTCTCAAATATAAACTATTCTATCATACACACACACACACACACACACTTTGGATTTGGGGAATAATGAAATTTCTGCCAAAGTCATATACAAGATAATAAATATAAAGAACTTTAAATAAATTAGCCAAAGAACTTAAGACTCTGTCAACACACACACACACACACACACACACACACACACACATTGAAATAATTCTATGAATGCAAAAAACATTTAGGGGATGAGTTATAGACAACTTTTATAGTCTCTATTTTATTTACTTATTTATTTTTGTTTTTTGGAGCCTGTTCTAGAACTAGTTCTTGTAGACCAGGCTTGCCTCTGACTCGGGAGTGCTGGGATTACAGGTGTGTGCCACCACCACCCAGCTAACTTTTATATTCTATTTATATTCTTATAACATTTGAATTTCTGTGTTAAGTACATATTGATTGTATAAAAACCCTACATTTAAAGATACAGAATTTATTATGTACTAAACTGTGTTTTATATATATATATTATGCTTCTTCAAATTATGAAATAAGGGTGGAAAGGGGCTGAGACTTAAATTGTGGCCCAGGCTGGCCTAGAACTCACTATGCTTAAGCAGGTGGCAATCCTCCCGCCTCAGCTTCCTAACTGCTGGGATTATAAGCATGAACCACCATGCCTGATTTATAAGAATACAAGGTTTTTAAACTGGACATTGGTGGCGCACGCCTTTAATCCCAGCACTAGGGAGGCAGAGGCAGTTGGATCTCTGTGAGTTCAAAGACAGCCTGCTCTACAAAGTGAGTTCCAGGACTGCCAGAGCTACACAAAGAAACCCTGTCTCCAAAAACCAAACCAAACAAACAACCTCCCTAGGTTTTAAAAATATTATTTATGTGTATATAGTACATGTTTGTGTGTGAGCATGTGCGTGTGTATGCAAGAACTCCACAGACGCCGGAGTGATGTGGTGTCGGATCCTCTGAAGCTGGAGTTACAAGCAGTTGTAAGCCACTGGTGCAGGTGCTAGGAACCCAACTCTAGTCCTCTGGAAGCCTTGGAAGTCAATGAGTCATCTCTGTACCCAAGTCTGTATAATACTTATTCTTTATTTTAAAGAGTTTATTATGTACACAGCATTCTGTCTGCATGTATCCCTGCAGGCTAAAAGAGGGCACCAGATCTCATTACGGATGGTTGTAAGACACCATGTGGGTGAAAGAAATTGAACTCAGGACCTCTGGAAGAGCAGTCAGTGCTCTTAGATGCTGAGTCATCTCTCCAGCCCCTAATAATTTAATTCTTATATTTCCTAATAGCTAACATAGTGTCTCTAGTTAGAAAGAAAAAAGGGGGATAGGGTATAATGGTTGAATAACTTAAACATGCCAGAAGATATTTACCTAATAAAATCTAATAATGATAAGTTCATGGAAAATTCCAACTGAAGAGAATGTGCATCCATCATCTGGTAATTTATAACACCACAGAGAGTCCCCTCTACAGAAGGGCTTTCCATCTGCACACCATACTGAAAAGATGTGGAGCTTTCCATCCCAGGCAAACAGCATCCAGGTTGCTCAATGATCTGTAAATTAAAGTAATAAAAATACCGAGGAAAGCATCATTATAATGTTATACGGATAGCAAACTTCTATTTAAGTGATAAAGTAATAAAGTACACTAATGTGGGAAATTAACAAATGACATTATGGAAACAACATACAAATATTCACTAAACAGCCAGGCTGTGGTGGCGCATGCCTTTAATCCCAGCACTCGGGAAGCAGTGTCTGTGCACTAAGCAAGCATTCTTCCATAGCTCCTCCCTTTTTTTTTTGAGACAGGGTTTCTGAGTGCAGCACCCCCCCCCCCACTGTCCTGGAACTGACCAGACTATCCGCAAATTCACAGAGATCCTCCTGCTTCTGCCTCCTGAGTGCTGGGATTAAAGGCATGCACCACCACTGCTCGGCTACCACTAGACTCTTAACCTAGAAGATCTATAACAATCCTACAGCTGCCTTCCATTCTCTCTCTCCATCCCCACTCAAGCTGTACTGGTAGAATCAGACACATTTCTTTGTTTTTTAATATGTATTCAAGAATTCTTGCCCTGGGCAATGGACCATACAATAATTCATTCAACAAACTGTATGTAGCTCACAGAAAGAAGTGGTTATCCTTCTGACACATACCTGTCAAATGTCATAACTGTGCCGAGAACACTTACAACAATGCAGACAAAGGAACTTTGAGAAGTTGCCATAGCTCCCTTTCGGGGCTATGGAAGAGAATGATGCCCAAGTACCGAGCATAGAATAAAAAAAATCACATGGAGAAATGTTTACCCCTTAATATTTTTTTAATGCTCTATTTGGTTCTGTTAAATAATCTGAAAAGTTAATTTCAGTGAATATGGCAAGAGCAAATGTAGCCCTTAGGGAACACATGAGTAGAGATCATAGAATAAAATCAGGAAACACAAAGAACAAAGGATATGCATTTAATGTTAAAAGCATTTTACAGATATCAACTAGCCAATTCTGTTTTTTTTTTTTTTTTTTTTTGGTTTTTCAAGACAGGATTTCTTCTCTTTGTGGCTCTGGAGCCTGTCCTGGAACCAGCTCTGTAACCAGGCTGGTCTTGAATTCACAGAGTTCCGCCTGTCTCTGCCTCCCAAGTGTTGGGATTAAAGATGTGTGCCACCACTGCCCAGGCAACTAGTCAATTCTTTACAGGAACATAACGTTAATATCCTTGCTTTCAACAGGAAGAAACAGGCAAAAACATTTAAGAAACTGACCATGTAACATGGCAAGTAAGGCACAGTAGCAAGGTTAAAAACCAAAGTAGTATAAGAAGCCTATATTCGCAGGGCGGTGGTGGCGCACGCCTTTAATCCCAGCACTCGGGAGGCAAAGGCAGGCGGATCTCTGTGAGTTCGAGGCCAGCCTGGTCTACAAGAGCTAGTTCCAGGACAGGCACCAAAGCTACAGAGAAACCCTGTCTCAAAAAAACCAGAAAAAAAAAAGAAGCCTATATTCCTTTTTTGTTTGTTTTTTGGGTTTTGAGACAAGGTCTCACTTTTTAGCTCTGGCTGTCCAGGAACTCACAGGATCCTTCCTCTGTTCCTGAGTGCTGGATTTAAAGGTGCATTCCTCACTATGCTCCACAGAGACTCACTTTACACATCTATGGCCTCTCAAACACAGCACTACTGGGCTTCCTTTGTTTCTTTAGAGTAGTTAGTGTATCCTGAGCCCTGATTTAAGGAAGAAAGAATGTGGAACAAATTCATAAGGTGCCGGAGGCAAAGGCAGAAACACTAAGTAAGTGTCATTTACTTAAGGGAGAAAAGATAAATTAGCATTGTCTTACCTTGAAGTTTTCCACAGGAAAAATTTCTAACTTAGCATTTGTCACCTCTGAATCAGTCTTACTAGTGACTGCCCAGACCACCAATAAACAATCATCCTTCCAAATTTTGTAAGAAGACACTGACACCGTGTCATTACTACAGATTTCCATGAGGCTTGAATGCCCACGCTCTGGAGTTTCTTCTAACAGAGAGGCTGCAGCTGAAGCTGTGGAGGATGAAGAGGGCTGGAAAACTTCCATGTTGTCATCAGCAAACAAAGAAGGCGCAGGCGAGCTGACACTTGACAGTTTTTCAACTGAGGACAGCTCTGACGAAGACCCAGAACCCAAGAGCTCTGCACTGAGTTCAGTGTCCCCTCTATTCAAAGCACTCAGACAGTCATCATCCCCACGGGCCACAGCTGATACAGAGCTGAGGGTGGAGGAGGCAGGGTTATGAGCACTGGGTATCTTGTCATTTTGGGAGACCTTGAATTTTGATTTCCTCCTGAACTTGTGAGACACGAGGTCTGCTTTTCCCAACTGCAATAATAAAATATAAGAAGAAACTATTTTACTAATCATGAGCTTTAAATATCTTCTATAATCTCAAATGAACAATATATCAACACTAAGAATCTGTAAAGCAAAGATTGGCAAAACTCAGATAAATAAAATGTAAAACCCTAAAATTCTTAAAGGTATCAGCTAAATTTCACTTCTAACTTAAAAAACATAAACTGCCAGGCATGATGGTGCTTGCATTTAATCCCAGTACTAGGGAGGCAAAGGCACGCAGATCTCTGAGTTCGAGGCTAGCCTGGTCTACAGAGACAGCCAGGGTAGTCACACAGAGAAACCCTGTCTTGAAAAAACAAAAACAAAAACTTTTAAACACTATAAACTTGCCGGGCGATGGTGGCGCACGCCTTTAATCCCAGCACTCGGGAGGCAGAGGCAGGCAGATCTCTGTGAGTTCGAGACCAGCCTGGTCTACAGAGCTAGTTCTAGGACAGGCTCCAAAGCCACAGAGAAACCCTGTCTCAAAAAACAAAAAATAAATAAATAAATAAATACATACACACATACATACATACATACCATAAACTTAGAAAAGGAAATAAAATAAGGTCAGAACTCAGTTGTAGTAGTTTTAAAAAATGTTGTTTGGTATTCTTTACATTATAAAATTGGACAACCTAGATTTGTTTTTGTTTCCAGAGCTGTATTATAGACTCCTAAGTTACCCTGACTACAAAGGGGACCCAAACTGTATTTTAATAATCTATAATAATTTGATTTCATGATCTTTGTTAGTAAGCAAAGAAGAAAAATTGGTTTTACCTCAATAACAAAAATCAGAGGCTGACCAGAAAATACAGAAGAAAACCATTCCATAGAATTTGCCACCACTAACCTAAGTGAAGAACAGTCTGATCAGGTCTATGCAAGCAGAGCCCACAGACAGACCACTATTACTGACAATCTCCAATCACTCCCCTTGCCCTCAGAGAATTCTGTCATTCACCCTGGTCATTCCTGATAATTTATGTGGACCCTGGACTGTGTGAGCAGACTAGACTTCAGAGAATAACTTACTCAAGGGGATTGGATGCCGTCACCTCAGTGGTATAAAAACTATGTCACTGGGGCTAGAGAGATGGCTCAGCTTCCAGAAGTCCTGAGTTCAATTCCCAGCAACCACGTGATGGCTCACAACCATCTATAATGAGATCTGGTGCTCTCTACTGACCTGCAGGCATACATACCTGCAGAATACTGTATACATAATAAATAAATAAATAAAATTAAAAAACCAAAACTATGTCACTGAGCTCTAGATCTGAGAGATGACGGCTGTGAGAGCTGTAGGAGGCATTTCCCTCACACCATGTACAGATGAAATCCAGTTTTTGCTACCAGCAGAGAGCAGAGATCCTTACAGGAATGTAACAGACAACTTACCAAATTGATTGTATTTTCTGGTTCAAGCCCAACAAACAGTGAGGATGCCAACAACTGCTTTTCTTTCTCCTCTGTAGATTGGGTGAGGCCTTGAGCTTGGTCCTTTCTGGCTGTGGCCTGGCTGACATTCTCCATTGTTGTACTCTCCCCAGGAGCATGCGACACTTCCATTTTATCACCAGTTGCGCTCTCCTTTTTGGGGAGATAGCCCTCTTTGCCCCATAATTTCTTTATACCTTCCAGCTTCAAGCTACTTGTCCTAAGGAGATTAAGCAAACAGTCAATTTAAATAATTGCTGACTAGGTAAATCCTTGATACATTTTTTTCCCCAAAACACATATGCTATGATCATTTATTTATTTATTTATTTATTTATTTATTTATTGTTTTTCGAGACAGGGTTTCTCTGTGGCTTTGGAGCCTGTCCTGGAACTAGCTCTGTAGATCAGGCTGGTCTCGAACTCACAGAGATCCGCCTGCCTCTGCCTCCCGAGTGCTGGGATTAAAGGCGTGCGCCACCATCGCCCGGCTTCTGCTATGATCTTTTAAAAAACAGCTTTTATGTTAATTTTATAGGTGAGAAGGAAACCTAGATTTTTTTTGGTTTTCAAGACAGGGATTCTTGCAGAGGAAAGGATCTCTGTGAGTTCGAGGCCAACAAAAAGACAGGGATTCTCTGAAGCTTTGAAGCCTATCCTGAAACTCGCTTTGTAGACCAGGCTCAAACTCACAGAGATCCTGTCTCTGCCTCCCGAGTGCTCGGATTAAAGGCATGAGCTACCACCACCTGGAATCCTAGATTTTTAAAATTTATTTTTATTAGAACCAATTTCCCCCTTCCCTCAAGTACAATAATTTAAAGCCCCAGAACTCTAGATCTGGTTAAAAATCTCAGACCAAGCCGGGCGATGGTGGCGCACGCCTTTAATCCCAGCACTCGGGAGGCAGAGGCAGGCGGATCTCTGTGAGTTCGAGACCAGCCTGGTCTACAAGAGCTAGTTCCAGGACAGGCTCCAAAACCACAGAGAAACCCTGTCTCGAAAAAAGCAAAAAAAAAACAAAAAACAAAAAAAACAAAACAAAAAAAAAAAAAGAAAATGTAGTTAGGGCCTGAAACCTCTTAGAATTCTGCACTGATCTGAAGTCCCATTTATCCACTGGGGAGCTTCCCAGCCATGGCTCCCCCTCTAAGATATAAGGCACCTGTTATTCTTTCGGTCCCTGCCCTAGCCACGCCCACTCCTTTTTTACCTCTGACCTCCGCCCGCCATCTCTCTCTCTCTCTCTCTCTCTCTCTCTCTCGTTTTCTCTCCCGGTGTACACACGGCTTTGCCTCCTCTCTTTTCTCCTTTTCTCTCTCCCTCTTTCCTGTAATAAATATGTTACCTTTATGCCTATCTTTTGTGTCTATGTGTCTGTTACCCGCCGCAGCCGTCCCTCCCGCTGGTGGGAAACTGTAGCCGCTTTTCTCATGGCGGGCTCTGCCAGCCTGCGCGGGGACATTTTTAGGAATAAGAGCACCTCCTTATCAGATTTACGTTTGAGTGACCCCGTGAAATGCATGTTTGGTATCACTGTCATTGCCTATGGAATTGCTAACTATGTCTGTATGTGTATGTAAACTGAAAGCCTTGTGGGGGAATACCCCTTCTTTTTCGCCCAGAGAATAAAGAAACATGCGGAGGAAGAGTATGCTTGAGTCAATCTGTTCAGCCCCTCAGACCCCCCTATTTAAGCCAGTTTGCTATAGACGTCCTGTTCTGAGCCCTGAGGGAGCGCTGAGGCTGGTATTCAGTAAGCCCTGATAGCCATGCAAACCCAAACTGAACCTGAAGATATTAAATAACTCCTCAGACCTGACATAAAACACACTTCTATTCAACAGAGGCAGCCTAGGAGCTTGTATTAGATACACCATCAAGAAGTACACGTGCCTAGATCTCATTGGAAAAACACAACTTGAAGTGCTAAGACAGTATGTCCTCCTCTCAAAACCCAGCAGCTCTATAGAGGGTTCTCCATTGAGTATTACTTAAATGAATCCCAAGACACTGAGCTAAATTTTTAAACCTAATTTTTACTTTGTGTGTATGGGTGTTTTGAGTGCATGTATGTTATATCTGTGCACTACACGTGTGGAGGCCAGAAGAGGACACCAGAAGTCCTGGGGCTGGAGTTAGGGACAGTTATGAGCTGCTAGACAGGTTCTAGGAATTGAACCTAGGTCCTTTGGAAGGGCAACCATTCCTCTTGACTGCTAAACCATCTCTCCAGCCCCAGGACACAGATTAAAAAGAACAACCAAACTTATACAACTGATGGAGTTTAAAAAAGACAGAAGCAAGCCAGGCAGTGGTGGCACGTGCCTTTAATCCCAGCACTTGGGAGGCAGAGGCAGGGGGATCTCTGTGAGTTCAAGGTCAGCCTGGTCTACAAGAGCTAGTTCCAGGACTGGCTCCAAAGCTGTAGAGAAACCCTGTATACAAAAAACCAGAACAACAACAACAACAACAAAAAGACAGAAGCAAACAATGAACTCAATAAATTTAAACAGAACAGCAACAAACACCCAAGTGATGACCAAGAAAACACAAATATAAATCTGAACAATGGCAAGAACAATTAGGGATTTGAAATCTGAATTCAATCAAGAGACAGAAGAGAATGCAAGTGGAAATGAAGACAGAATTTAAAAATGTAATAACCCAATTAGAAAATTCAGGGGGAAGCCTCAAAGTAGAATGAATAAAATAGAAGACAGAATATCAAGACTTTGGGTCTTTCCACGCTGCTCTGAGTTCTGTTGTGTGGAGAATACAAGAAACTCAGATACCAAACGGGCACAGCCGCTTGATTCTGGACTTCTGGTCTCCAGCGGCATGAGCTAAGAAAGTCTCTTTCCTTAATGAACCACCAACCTCAGGTCTCCTGTGACAGTAACAGCAAACAAAGAACGCTGCCTCCAAAACTTCTTATGAGAACTAAGCATACAATGTGCTTGAAAGAGTTTCCTGGCATACAGTGACCATCTAATACTTACTCCCTTAATGGAGCAAAGAAACTATATAGTAATACATATAAGACAATCGATCACTCCGGTCTGGGCAAGCCAAAATATCAACAGCACTATCACATGTGGAAGCCAATCCACTGTTCCATTGGAACAAAGAGACTACCAGCTCCTCTGACACACTTCCTCACGCATCTGGAGCCTGGGGGCAAGAGGGACATGGGGAGCTCTTAGCACCAAAGCAGATGCAGATAAGACAGCATACACGGAAGGCAGAAAGATGGTACCCTAGAAACCAGAGTCAGAGAATACGTCACCTTTCTGTGCAGCCAACTCCCATAGCTCCTGGGCCGCTGCAAAAGACAAAGTCATGGGGTATTCCACGAGGACATGCTTGCCGGCCTGCAGAAACTGCCTTTGGAAACAGAAACACTTCAAGTAAGCACGCAGTGCCCTGTATATCCGAGAACACGACACTGCAAATGCACAAGAGCCTGCGTGTGAGTGTGACAAGCAGCCAAGGGTCAGTGCCCTGCAGAGTAAGGATGATCTATGCCTCAACCTTTGTCTTTACTGTAAGAAAGAACTTTTCTAGCTATGAAATCATTTGACTCTTCATCAGTGTTAAAAATTTAGTTTGCTGCAGAGGCAGGCGGATCTCTGTGAGTTCAAGACCAGCCTGGTCTACAAGAGCTAGTTCCAGGACAGGCTCCAAAACCACAGAGAAACCCTGTCTCGAAAAACCAAAAAAAAAAAAAAAAAAAAAAAAAAAAAAATTTAGTTTGCTGGGCTGGAGAGTTGGCTCAGTGGTTAAGAGGACTGACTGTTCTTCAATGGGCTCTGAGTTCAATTCACAACCATCTATAATGGGATCCGATGCCCTGACGCCCCCTTCTGGCATGCAGGGATACATGCAGATGGAGCTCTCATACCAAAAAACAAACAAACAAAACATATTTTTTTTAAAAAAAAATCTAGTTTGTTTTCTATTACTGCAATAAATACTATGACCAAAAGAAACTTAGGGAGGAAAGGGTTTATTTCACCCCTTCCCCTCTATTTTTGAGAAAGGGTTAAACTGGGTGGTAGTGGCGCACACCTTTAATCCTAGCACTTGGGAGGCAGAGATAGGCGGATCTCTGTGAGTTTGAGACCAGCCTGGTCTACAAAAGCTAGTTTCAGGACAGACTCCAAAGCTACAGAGAAACCCTGTCTCAAAAAACCAACCAACCAACCAGAATAAGAGAACAAGCCCTGGCTGTACCAGAACTCGCTTTGTAAACCAGGCTGGCCTGGAATTCACAGAGATCTGCTTGCCTCTGCTTCCCGAATCTTGGGATTAAAGGAATGTGCCACCACCACCTAGCTTGACAACAGGTCACAGAACATCCAGAACTTTGTGTGTTGACCATTAAGTCCCATTTGCATAGTTTTAGCTTCCTCAGTCCTCTTTCCAGGTGTAAGGCAAAGCCTACTTGTATGAAGAAACCTACCTTATGTAGTCTTCGTGGCTGGAACTCTCACTGCAGATGTAGGCGACATCAATCTCCTGGCTGCAGAGAGCATCTTCCAAAGAAATCTGCTGTACTTCATCAAGGCTTCCAAGTTCTCGTCTGTTTCCCAAATACAGACAGTCTCAATCCACACAGAAAAGTGCAATAAAAGCAGAAAGGAGCATGAAGTGTGAGCGCAGGGAGATGGGAAGTTGAGGGGGAAGAAGCAACTAGGACAATTTTTGCTTAAAAATGCCACGGTGGGGGACTGGTGAGATGGCTCAGTGGTTAAGAGCACTGGCTGCCTTTCCAGATGGGCCCGGGGTTCAAACACTCCCAGCACCCACATGGCAGCTCACAACTGTCTATAACTCAGTTCCAGGGAATCAGACACTGTCACACCAATGTGCATAAAATTAAATAAATTATTAAAAAAAGCCATAGTGAGACCTAATAATTTGCATGTTAACTTTTAAAAAACTAATTTAAAAAGTTCAGCTCAATTACCAGCATGAAAAGAACACTTAGTGTTAGACTCAAACACTTTTCCTTAAATGTAATTCTTGGGTTTTCCAGTTATTGTAACCCCAACAGGATTACTGAGTCTTTCTGTGTCTGTGCTTTCTTATCTTGAACTGGGGCTGGAAACAGCAGTGAGAATAGCATAAGGAATATAACGTGCAAATCCACTGGGATGACTGTTCCAAATGGCAGAATGGCTAAGCCACATACAGCTTCTTTCAGGCCAAACCTCACGCTGTGCCTTCTGTAGTAAACAGACCACGTACTGCTCCACGTGGGGTCTACTGGGCATCGCTCACTGGACATGCAGCTGTAGGTCCCTGACTCTAGTTCCCCAACCAGTGCGAACCAGAGAGTCTCCAGAGACTACTCTGTGTGTGGTTCTCTGGAGAAGCTGGCTTTCCCTTACCCTGGATCTAGAAACATCCATGTCCCGTGGTGTTACCAGCCACTGTGATTTCTATGAATCGTGGAGCATAAACCAAGCTGGGACTTACCTAGACACAAAACCAATCAGGTTCAGGAATGCTAACGAGTGTGGATCCTGCAAGTCCCGTATTCTCACGGAGCCGGCTCTGCCAACACCAACCACGACCACACCAAATTTCTTCCCAGGCTGAAATACCAAAGACCAGTGCCGGGTGTGAAAACGGTCCAGGATTTGAATGGAGTACACCAAACCAGAGGGCTAGGCTGGGTTCTGGCAAGCAAGGAAAGCTGGTGGTAACCCAGAGAAACAAGAGCTGGGGTGTGACTCCCCTAGAAACCAGGTGTCAGACACAAGAGACCTGGAACCAAAACACGCAGAAAGGGCTCTGCCATGTCTCTGTGTTGAAGACCTTCTGGGCATCAACCAGAAGGTTCTGCCCACTTGGCTCTATCTATGACCTCTTCACAGACAAGGGGATTCTCTGTTGCAAACACCCAGGCTGATATGAGGCCTCCACCCTCCCTGGGTTCAGCATCTAGAGACACGGGGTCATTCAGAGGCAACAGCTACTGTGCAGGACGCTGACAGACAAGGGCCCACAGGAAGACGTCTTTGTCCAGACTTAAGACCCATGTTAAGTCCTTACGATGGCTGAGTTCCAGCTACCTTCATATTCACTATATTCTGGTACCTTAAACAGTAACTAAGTGTACTACTAGAAGATAGACGTTAATAAGGTATACTGAGGAAAGTCCATTTTAAAAGCTACGTTGTTGACTGAGTTTTCTGTCCTGCCCAGTTCCCGTAATCATTAAGTCCCAAAGAAATCACACAGAGGTCTACATTAACTATAAATTGATTGGCCCATTAGCTCAGGCTTCTTATTAACTCTTATAACTTATATTAGCCCATTATTCTTATCTATGTTAGCCACGTGGCTTGGTACCTTTCTGGTCAAGACAGTCACATGTTGCTTCTTCTGTGGTTGGGTTACAGATTGCAGAAATGAGTTTTCCTCTTCCCAGAATTCACCTGTTCTTATTGACCTGCCTTTACTTCCTGCCTGGTTGTCCTGCCTATACTTCCTGCCTGGCTACTGGCCAATCAGCATTTATTTAAAATATAATTGACAGAATACAGACCATTGTCCCACACCACTACATAATAACAACACATTATAATCCAAATATAAAAGTTACTGCCACTGCATTAAGCCCAGTTCTATTTATGTGCATATATATATATATATGTAACAATCCTAATTAATGAAAAAGAGACCATACATTTGAGAAAGAATTTAATGAGGGGGGGGTTATGGAAAGAGGGAAGTGAGGGGAGAAATGATGCAATTATATTCTAACTTTCAAAAGTTGCAAAAAATAATTTGGATGAAAAAAATTAATTTATTTTACCATTACAGCCACAAGCCAAGTCTGGAAATCACACTGGTTATGGGGTGTAAATCTTGATAACTAAGTCAGGGGTCTAAATGGATTTCCAGCATTTAAGACTGTCTTAGGCCACAATGACTTTGGAGTCCTCAACAATGGTGTAATTACTGTGTGAACTGCACTGGAGAAGGAAGACCTGCTTGGTTGGACAGAGCATCTGATTGTGACTGAAGGGATAACAACCCAATCCAGCATGCAGCTCTGGCAGGCCTTGCCCTGCTTCCCCATTCTCTCCGCTTTGCTAAAAACAGTTAGATTATATTCCTAAAGCTAGCAACCTAGAGGTCTATTCCCTTATTTAACCACTTCCTCCCTCTGATCTGACTACCAAGACCCAGCATTCAAAAGCCCCTTTTGGCTCACCTAATTAACAGGTCCAATTAAAATGAAACACCTCATCCTAACATGGGGCTTCCCCGTTTACCTTTATAAAGTGCCATTTGCCCACGGGCCACATCTGTCTCCTCTCCATCCAAAGGCAGTCCTTTGTCCCTCTGGGACAGATACTCCTACCTTCTTCACTAGCACATCCTAGCCCATCTAACACAGACCTCCCTTCTCTGCTTAAAAATGACACCTACAAGGTCACTGCTGTTTCTGCCTGAGTCAGAAAGCAGCCACTTTAACTTTTCTTCCCTGCTTCATAAAGGAAAAATGTTTACCTGCTTGGGCTGTTTCTAAACTCTTTGGGTGGGGGCGTGTTTGGAGGGATATTGAACATGTGAAATAAGGAACACTGGAAATATCCTTGATCAGCTGGTCTTGTTGTTTGGGTCTGGAGGGGGGGCACCATACCATGCCTGGAGCACACAGCCGATAAAAACCCCCCACTTCATGGCTAGGGACTGAAAGGGAGAGACAGTATCGTGACAGTGGACACGGATAAAAACTCAGGGGAGACCATTTCTCCTCCATCACCCACAGCCACAAACAAGTAGGTAGCCTAGCGGGGAGTATTTCTGAAAAATCTTGAGAGGGAAAAGGAGAATCCATGAGAGAACTAAGGCGCACGGCAGCAAAAGGATCCCTTAAGGCCCTCTGTGTGGAACTCACCTCTGCATTCATCCTGGTCTCTCCCGCTGGTGGCTGTAAAGATAGAGGTTCAGGACCCTGGGGACGCTGGCACAGACTCTATGAAGACGGTTTTCTCCCAGCTTCGGATGTCAACACTGCCAGGGGGAACTGGGAAGAGGGAACTGCTGTGTGAAAGGCATACACCACCTCTGCTCACCTCAGAAGGGGGGCCCTGGATAGCCTAAGGCACAACTGTATCCATGTCCAATTTGGCGAGTAAGTTTTTAATTGGGGTTGTCAACAGGGGTGTAGTGATGGTTATTCAAAGGAGCTGGGGTAATCAACAGCACAGGGGTAAACTCCTGAAACCCACAAGCCTGATGTTCTCTTCGCGGCTTGCGGTGGACAGTGAGTCCAGCTAAGGATTTCTTTTTGCAGCCTGGCTGATCAGTCTTCACCCCTTGCAATCGTTTTCTCCTTTTTTTTTTTTTTTAACTGCTGGGTGGGGACCCTCAAGAATCTCTCCAAGTTCCTGTTTTCCCCTACATTGGGACATTTTGCTTGCTGTGTGACCCTTCCCTTCCTTCTTGGAGGAAATGTTGCAATTTGGAGAGCATGCCCTAGAGCAGGAGCGTCAGCTATGGAGCCTGTCTGTGGCCATGTCTGTAGGGCATTTTCTTAATACAGCTAACTGCTACATGAGGGGCCAGACCACTGTGGGCAGTGCCGTCCCTGTGCAGGTGGTCCTAGGCTGCAGAAGAAAGGTAACTGAGAAAGGCAGAGGAAGCAAGCCAGGAAAACTGCCTTTCTCCACAGTCTCTGCTTCAGTTCCGGGCTCCAGGCTACTTCTGCCTGAGTTCCTACCCTTACTTCCCTTGATGACTGACTGTAACCTGTAAGTCAAATAAACCCACTCCTCCCCCAAGCTGCTTCTGATCAGATTTATTACTGCAGAAAAGCTGACTAGGACAACTAAGCTATGTGACCCAGTTTTCCCTACCTCTTCTTCATCATCAGTCCCCAGTGCCATTGCCACCTCTGGCCATCCAGGAATGATTGGTACATAGGCTGGTATCTTCTCTAGAGCTGCCGGAGGCCAACTTTCTTGTTGGGACCATTTGGAGTCCTGGCCTCCAGCTGCTCTTCCCTGCTAGAGATCTTTACTTTCCTTCTGATTTGAGTTACTGAAAGCTGTGTCAAAGTTGTTTACCAGCTCTGCTTCACGAGCACGTGTTGCCTTGAGGATCAGAGGATAAGGTTTTCACCTGTTGGCCCATCTGACTGTGTTGGGTATATGAGCCTCCGTGGTGCTATTGAATAAAGGACTTCTTACCAGTGACTAGAGGTCTGTGTCTCTGTTTCTCTCTGTGTGTGTGTCTTTGTGTGTTTCAACCTCCAGCCCCTTGCCTGAAGCTCGCGAACTGTATGATCGCTCATAGAGCGCAGACAGGCGTTGTGTGCTGTGGGGATATCATCTCAGCAAATGTCTAGAGAGGGTCTGTGCACTATCCTGGACAGCTGGGGACATGTCTTTATGGGGTGAGGCACTTCTCTACGTTCCAGCTTGGAGATCGCAGCCTTTTTTTTTTTTTTTTTTTTTTTTTTAGACAGGGTTTCTGTGCAGCTTTGGAGCCTGTCCTGGAACTCGCTCTGAAGAGATCCGCCTGCCTCTGCCTCCTGAGTGCTAGGATTAAAGGCATGTGCCATCACCGCCTGGTGAGATCACAGCCTTTTATCTAGCTTACTTTTAGAGAGAAGTGAAGTGTACCGTTTTTCCCGCTCGGCTGACTACCTGAGTTTTCTAGGTAAAAGAACCGTTCAGCAGTCTTTCCGGGCGATCAGGAGTCACAGGCAGAAGGAAGAAACAGACACATGGAAATAGAGAAAAGGCAAGCAACAGAACAGCAGCACTAACTTCAGCAGGCTCTTTGGCTAGCGTGCTGAGTGTGCATTCTTGACACAGAACCCCTAGAGCGAGCCGACGGGTGGGGGGACTAGGGGCTGGTTTCTTCCGCCAGGCATCTTAGATGGTGCACCCTGATCCGGGGCTAGCCTTAGGGTTAACTAGGGTTGCAAGGAGAATGCTGTAAAGATTAACTATTTTGTTCATTTAGACCTGGTAGATGTGTTACTTATATAACTATATCCAGGGCAGCTGGATGACCAGAGGCGATAAAAACAGGGAGAAGGACCCCCCCCCCCTGTCTCCTGCCTGTGTGTCTCTCCAGCAGGCTGAGAAGGGAGGCACTCTAGTCACTGCCAGCCCTGGGACTTGACCCTCTTAGGGTAGTGTAGTGATAAGACACGTGAAATGCTGCGGCTGGAGGGAGAGACGCCTTAGCCGGTAAGAGCACAGCCTGCATTCCCAGCACCACACGGTGTAACTACTTGTAACTCCAGTCCAGGGGATCCAGTGCCCTCTTCTGGCCTCTGTGGTATACAGACAGATGGCAAAACACCCATGCGAGAAAAATAAAAGTAAATGAATAAACCTTAAAAAAACCAAAACCCAACCTTTACTTGGGGCAACCCCAAGAAAGCCCTGGGAAGACCACGTGACTCCTATGGGCCTGTGCTCAGAACGTCTCTGGCAACGTCTTCCTCTCTCCTCCTCAGGACGTTATCTGTTCTTTGTGGTCTGAAGCCTGTCTGGAACTAGCTCTGTAGACCAGGTTGGCCTTGAACTTACAGAGATCCACCCGCCTCTGCCTCCTGAATGGCGTGCCACCACCACCCGGTGCAAAAGGGACCTTACTAAAGGCCAAGTCGACAGAGTATGAGAAGGGAGCCGAGGAAAGTGTTAGTGTGGTCACCTGAAGGTTAAGATGGCCAAATCTGACGCCACCGGCAGGTAAACACAGTTAGAAAACAGTTAAGTGTGTGTGTGTTGGGGGGGATGAAACCCAAAGTACCATGGAGACAGACGTTCAGAGGAAAGTAATGCCAGCTGCAGTATTCCTCCTGACGCTGAGAACCAGCCCCGTGAATGCTCAGCAAGTGCCCAACACCAGGACGTCTCTCTAAAGGCAGTACTAAAGACAGTACACGCCCATGTCTGATCATTTACATAATCCTTAGAATAAAAAAACTGACCAAATTTAAATCTTCTGCTTGTAGGATTAGGTCTTTGATGTTTTGAGATAGATTAAAATGTAGGTTACCCTTGATTTTGCCAGATACTGGCAGGAAAGTGGGGAGAAGGGAAGTGGATGATGGGTTAAGTAGGGGTTGTGACAATCAGCTTCCTATCACAGTGACAAAATGCCACACATACTGTGTACGTTGTGAAGCCACACAGCGATATCAAACACAGCCAGCCTGAGACACCTCTGCTCAGGTTTGGTAATATCATATGTTAAGCTCTTTCTGAGGAAAGAATCTATTTACAATTAAGAAAAAAAAAAACCCTACTCCCCTCTCTCTCTCTTTGGTTTTTTGAGATAGGGTTTCTCTGTGAAGATCAACAATTCATTTCCTTTTGTTCCACTTTGCTCTGTCTTATCAGGATTTGCGTGTGAGTTTTGTTGAGCGGCGGTTTTACTTTGTAGCCCAGGCTGGCATGAAACTCACTCTGCAGCCTAGGCTGGCCTTAAATTCTCAGCAACCCTCCTGCCTCAGCCCTGTGCTATGAGAACTATAGAGTAAAATATAATGATAATACAGTTAAGTCTGGGATTACATACATCAGACTATTAATAATAAGTATGTCCCGAGTCCTGGAAGTTTCAGCAAATCTGCTTCTTAGTTCTAAAAGCTCAAGTGTTGTTAGTCATTCATATTTCTTTTTCTTTTCTTTTTTCTTTGTTATTTTTAGGACAGGGTTTCTCCGTATCCTAGCTGTCCTGAACTCACAGAGCTCCGCCTAAATCTGCCTTCTGAGAACTAAGATTAAAGGACAGTGCCACCACTACCCAGCACTCATTCATATTTCTAGTTTTTTGGCTCTCAGAATCTCTTTGATAATACTTTGTCTACCATTAGACTTCAGTATGTCTTATTCTGGAATGTACAATGTAAGAAAAGTACTTGCATATTTACTAATACAATCTTTTATAATAAAATAAGCTCTAGTATTCTAGTTCAATAATTTCAAAAACTTCTTGGAAGCAATATTATGAAAATTTCACTAATTATGAGAGGAACTTTCCAGTACACTATTGTTTGCTTTGTATAATATTATGAGCACTAATATTAAATCTCATGTTGAAAATCCTGTTGCCTTACATGGTCATCCTACCTAGCAAGCATTAAACTTATCCCTACTTCTTACAAATGAGACACCAAGAGGTTACCTAATGTGTCCCAAATCTAATGTCATGTTAAATGGAAAAATATCTGCATCTAAAACTGCATAAGCATAACGCTTTATTTTTTGTTTGTTTGTCTTTGAGACAGTGTTTTTCTATGTAACAATCCTGTAACCCTGGAACTCACTCTGTAGACCAGTCTGGTTTAGGACTAGAGGTTTGCCCGTCTTTGCCTCCTGAATGCTGGGACTTAAAGGGGGTGCCACCACCAGCTTCAGTTTTTTTTTAAGTAGTAGATAACTTCAGCCTCATTTCTGAGTTCTTCAGGTAGCATGCAACCTACAATGTAATCCTTACACAGTCTTGAATCCCCCCCACCCCCCGCTCAGTTTCTGAAGCGTAAAGCGCAGCTAGGAGAGATTAAAGGACACTCCAGAAGCAGACCGTCACCCAAGATTCCAGGGCAGAGTTCAAAGTAAACCTCCGGCTTAGTCTCAGTCCCGCGGACCCCGTGCGATACACCCTTCAGTCTACGTAAGGCCGGAAGCCAATATCATTTTTGAACGAGATGCAATTTCTTTTCTGACCGTCTGCACTCGGTAACGGCCGTCTTCCAGGGCCGAGTCTCCTGCTGGCTGCCACCCAGCCTGAGAAGGGCCGGGCAGAGAAGAACGGGTGACCAGGTAGCTCCAGACCACGCTGGCCTACGGCTCTGGCCTCAGCACGCAAAGAACGCGTGCCCGCGCCCTTCCCGGGTCAGCACTCACCTCTCCTGCACTCAGCACCCGCCCCGCAGCAGCTCTCCCGCAGCGCAGCGTCTCCAACGTAGGGGTAGAGGGGCGAGCGGATGCTGGGATCCGATTGGTTGTCAGGCTGGTGGGCGGGGTTCCCGTCGGCCGCCTCTGCTGATGCTTGTGCTGCTGAGATAGGCAGCCTTACTCGTTCCCGCCCTGTAGCCTGTGGACTGGGCAATGACTTTTTACACCGCTTGGTGTGGTGTAGCTGTCACATGTTGCCTGAGGCTTTTTTTCTGGTGGTGGGTACAGTCGGGTGCTTTTCTAGTTTAGTGGCCCAAACACAATTGATCTGATACAAAAGTTTGTGTAAAAAGCGAAGATTATAGGAAAACAGTGTTTGTGATCCATCCCCTGCCCTCAGAGCTAGGAAACATTTTCCCAGGGATAGCTTGGTCTCTCCCTTGAAATAGTAGGCACACTGTAGAAGGAATCAGGGTGCCCCGGTCATAAAGTATACCTTCTAGTCTAAAGCAGAAAAATGTAACTTGGAGCCTGCCCACTTTTTACCTAGTTTCCATCATCTGCCAGCTAGGAAGTTAGAAGTGTCCCCTCCCTGCAGTCCTTCACCCACACAGCAGCTAGAATGACCTTAAACTGGGCTGGAGAGATGGCTCAGTAGTGAAGAGCACTAGCTGTTCTTCCAGAGGACCAGGGTTCAATCACATGGCAGCTCACACCTGCCTCTAACTCTCCAGTTCCAGGGGATCCAACACTCTCTCTCTCTCTCTCTCTCTCTCTCTCTCTCTCTCTCTCTCTCTCTCTCTCTCTCTCTCTCACACACACACACACACACACACACACACACACACAGGCAAAACATAAAAATAAACATTGAAAAAAAACAAAAAATAATAATTAGCTGGACATGGTGGTATAGACTAATCCCAACACTTGGGAGAAAAAGGAGATTAAAGCCAGCCTGTGCTGCATAAAACCCTATCTCAAAATAAAGGCCAGAACCAAGGAAGGAAAGATGTGTAGATTTTCGTTGGCTAGGCAGCCTAAGTCAGTGAGCTCCAGGTTCAGTGAGAGACCATGTCCCAAAAAACAAGATGGGGGGACTGGAGAGATGGTTCAGCCATTAAGAGCTCTTGTTCCTGCAGACTATCTGGGTTCTGTTCCCACCACTCACAACCATCTGTTCTTTAACTCCAGTTCCAGGGGACCCAATGCCTCATCTGACCTGCTGGCACCAAGAACCTATGGATAAATACATCATATTTGTTGTTGCTGTTTTTAGACAGGGTTTCTGTGTAACCTTGACTGTCCTAGAACTTGCTCTGTAGACCAAGCTGGCATCAAACTCAGAGATCTGTTTGCCTCTGCCTCCCAAGTGCTGGTGAGATTAATGGCATGCACCACTGTTACAGAACAGTCTTTTTATGCACTGTGAAGATGTGTGCCCTCATTGGTTTAATAAAGAGCTAATGCCATTTTAAGTGAGGTAACCCAGACACAGAAAGACAATATCACATGTACTCACTCATAGGTGATTTTTAAACATAAAGCAAAGAAAGCCAGCCTACAAACCACAATCACAGAGAACTTAGACAACAATAAGGACACTAAGAAAGACTTATATAGATCTAATCTACATGGGAAGTACGAAGTAAAAAAAGACAAGATCTCTTGAGTAAATTGGGAGCATGGGGACCTCGGGGGAGAGTTGAAGGGAGGAGGGAAAAGGCAGGGAGGGGAGCAGAGAAAAATGTAGAGCTTAATAAATATCAAAAATAAAATAAAATAAAGAGCTAATGCCAATAGCCAGGCAGGAAGAGGTCGGGTGGGACTTCCAGACAGGGAAAAAGAGAGAGTGAGGATAAAGAAGTCAGCAGGAAGACACAGGGAGAAACAAGATGAACGAGCTGTGATGAAGAAAGGTACCACCATTTAGATAAGAAATATGGGTTAATTTAAGATGTAAGAGCTAGTTAGTAACAAGTCTAAGCTGTAGGTTGAGCATCCATAATAATAAGTCTCTGTGTGGTTATTCGGGAGCTGGCTGGTGGGACAGAAAAGTCTACCTATATGCCACCACTGCCTGGCTTAGTCACAGACCAGGCTTTTCTGTGTAACAGCCCTAGCTGTCTTGGAACTCGTTCTGTAGACCAGGCTAGCCTCGAACTCAAAGAGATCCTGTCTCTGCCTCCTGAGTGCTGGGACTAAAGGTGAGAGCCACAACTGCCAGGCCTAATTCATATTATTAAAAAAGTTAAAAACTAGTAAGATAGTAAGGAAGAAATCTTGACCTCGGGCCCCTGAAACATGAACACTTACATGATTGTATGCACACAGCCACACAAACATGTACATACAACACACATGCAAGAACATAAATACAAGTAACATGATACAGACTGAGCAAATTGGTTTTATGTATTTAGGAATATATATAGATAGATATACTGATTAAATAATTTTCATCTACTTAAATTATAAAGAAGATATATACCCAGAAAAGCATAGATATATTTTTATTATACATTCAATTGAAGTTTTTAAAATTACAGAGTTCAATGCCAAAACAAAGTAAAAAAAATGCATATTAAGTTGCTATTCACTTGCATTGTTCTGCCCTAAAATTCTGCAAGGAAACAGCTTAAAGACACATGAACAGATTCAGTGCACTTCTAGTGGCTTACCATGCGACGAAGACCATGGTTATCCACAGAAAATAAAAGAACAGTAAAATGAAATTAAAATACTGCAGTTTCACACAATCGACCTGGAGGATTTTAGGAGAATTTTGTTAGCACTCACCTGCAGAGCAAATGTAGCGCCTGGCAAGCTTGGCACACGAGCTCTTATTAACCGCTCAGCTTCTCCTCCGGTTTCTCTGGCAGGACCAACACAGGGTCCTCTCACACCCACGCAGCTTTTCTGCTGACCTTCTGGGGATGACTCTCAATGCTTTTCCTGTCTTCCTTTGTGTCCCAGCCTCATGCCTGCTGCCAATCCATCCTAGCATGAAGCACACAGCCCTTCTTCTCAAGTATTACCTTTATTGGCTGAATTGTGATTATAAAGAAACTAGATCTAAAATTCTCCCTACTTTATGATCATATCTCCTACAATGCAAAAAGGTTGATGATGCCTGATTCAGAACATACTTCAATGAGTTTAGACAGAATATATACTGGCCCAAGGTTTTTAAATATGTACTCTTTTCTATTATAATCATTAGTTTTCAAATTCATAAACGTTGTAAACATCATATTAAACATTTCAGTAGAAACCCTGTTACCTTACATTTTACTTAGTGGGTTCAGAAAGAACAAAAGCGACACTTTGTTCCCTTTGGCAGATCTGAAATTGTCCCTGAACCCCAAACCCACCATCACACATGCACTATTAAGCGGTTTCTTAGGTCAAGCATGTTCATGACAATTACTGCTGCTCTCATGAGCATACCTTGTAACAAAGTAGTAGAAAACAAACAAAACTATGATCTCTTGGAACTGCTCTCCCTGTGAGTTTAGATACTGTACCCCACCCTCCCCAACTGATCCACCTCAGGTAGCACATAAATACCTGAAAGCATACGCTAAGGAGAGTCTCCTGTACCAACGCTGTCTGCTCTGCCACCCCACCGTGAGACTGAGGCTGAGGAGCTGGAGGACAATGCGAAGCTGGCCTTCTGGAGTGCCTTTATCATCAAAGTGCTGAGGCTAATAACGTGCCTGGTTTTCTACTCAAAGGGAGAAACCTGACACACAGGAAATTCTAGTCACCTATTGCTCTTTTAGCAAGGTTTAACTGCAGGTTTTTATTTACTTGTTTATTTATTTAATTTTTGTGAGTTTCTTGGGGGCGGGTTTGAGACAGGGTTTCTCTGTGTAGCTTTGGCTGTCCTGGAACTTGCTCTGTAGACCAGGCTGGTCTTGAACTCACAGAACTCCTACTGCCTCTGTCTCTGGAGTGCTGGGATTTAAAGTATATGCCACCACCACTCAGCTAACTATATGTTTTTAAAAGAGAAATTAACAAAATGTTACATTTTAAAATGAATAACCTAAAAATTAATTTAAAAAAATACTATATTTCTTTTGCTCTAACTACAGATGACTGAGATCTACTGGCTCATTAGCATCTGGATTAGCAAATATTGAGATAACCTAAACCCAGAGTGCCTGACCTGGGTGACAGCCAGTCCTGCGAGCTAGAATAGTAACGACTTAAAGGTTGTATTACCTGAATAGTTTCAATGATGAAGTACCAGAAATGGTAAAATAAATATTTTCCACAGCACCATAAGTTTTTATAAAATACTATTTCAGTTAATATACAATCTCAGGATTTTGGCCCATCATACATATGAGGCACAACATCTTCTTTTATTAACAGAGGCCTTATTTGCACAAATACAACATGAAAACAATATATTTACATGGTTACTACTGCATCTACATCCACTGAATACTAGTAGTTTTAAGAGCCATGAAAAATTAATTGACCATTTAGAGTATGGTCACAGAATTTAATTGCCAAATGGATCTAATAGCAAACAGATGTACTTTATGGCCAAATTACTTAAAATTAAGTATAACATGTTAAAAAGTAAAAAAACCCCAAAACGCAGATTGGATCTGCCCAATACCCAGCATGCTCACAAATTTCCTACAACCGTTAGCATGTGCTAGGCCGTCTGAGTTTAACACTGACCTAGTAAAACAGAACCGAGAGCACACCTTTTCCCACAACAAACACCACATTCCAAAGCCAATCTCATGTGTCCCTGCATCAAAGAGGAGAACTGAGTCTTGGCTTTATTAGAAATCAGTTAATGCTAGAATAAACCTGTTACAAAACACTTATAACAAAATAAATATTTTCAGTTCCTTCACATTAAGTGATATATAAATCATTACATTTTATAACATTAGCTTAGGTCATTTGGGGAAACCCAAACATACTGTACAATCCTGAGTAAAAAAATTAGTGACACAGTTTCTTGGGGATTATCCTTATCAGAAATCAAGAAGAAAACGCATAAACCGAACCTTACAATAATCC